AAGTAATTAGACTTATTAACATAAACCCACTAACTTTATAATTAAAGTAGGAATAGTCCAAAACGTCCCTTAAAACGTGTAAAAAAATCTGACCCAGACTGGGATTACGCAACCTGTGACGGCCCGTCGTGCCTGCGACGGTCCGTCCTGCAGGTCGTCGCAAGGTTCAGAGACTCAATTTCCACCAAAGAGTCTGTGACGGTCCGTCACGCCCGTGACGGTCCGTCCTACCATTCCGTTACGAAGTTCAGAGAGTCAATTTTCAGTACCCAATTTTAGAATTTCTAAGTGTTTTGAAACGAGACCCCTCGACGGTCCGTCGTGCTCATGACGGTCCGTCGTGAGTTCCGTCGTCTCAGCCTGTTTTTCCAGAAATAAAATCTACTGCTCAAAACGACTAAACAGGTCGTTACATTAATCATATTGTAATGACTGAGGTTATAATGTAATTATCATTATTAATATTGACAATATTGATAAAAAGGAATAAAGGGAATATTATTTGAGGTTCAATAGTAGTGGTACTCTCGTCATTTTGGTCGTAACTTAACTTTGTTGTTGCTTTGAATTTTCTTATTATTATTATTATTTTATTATGATTCAAGTTTTGATATATTAAATATTATGATGTATTATATTATGTGAAAATTATTAGGGTTGTAGTGTTTGGAGAAATTATGACTTAACTCAAGGTTCGAATTTGAGGAATATGAGAGTTGGAATATTAATTGGCATCAAGATTAGGAACGTGATTATAAATTGGGGTTGAGTTATTGACTGTACGCGTAGTAATATGGGTGTTGTTGATTTTGGAATCTTATTGTGGTTAATTATTAGACTAGATTTATTTGAGTTGGAAGTTCAACAAATGGAAAAGACTCAAGTTCTGGAGTATATTCTTGTTGGATTCAGGCAAGTGGATTTCTAAACTCTTGTTAAGTGTATGAAATGCGTGTACTTCCCTGTGGTATATGTTTGGAAGTAACGGGATTGGTGATGGGTTGACTTGTCCACATTGATTAAATCTAATGATGAAAAAACAAGGGATAACAAAAGGCAATGTGATCAATTGTTTATGTGTGATCTGTTGAGAAAGGGTTAAAGGCTTGTTGAATCATTGTTGATATGACTTTATGTTTGTGTGGTTGTGAAGTGTGCGATGTTATGAAAATGTTCCTCTCCTCGTTATTTGTGTGAACTTCTAATCTGCATTATCCTGAGGCATTGGTTGTGACAAGTGTTATGTGCATTGAGAAAGAATGAGAACTTAAAGAGGATGTACCATTTCGAGGGACGTCTCGCGTGCCGCGATGGATACTATATTTCGAGGGACGTATCGTGCGCCGCGATGGTTACCATTATCGAGGATCGTGTCGTGCGCCGCGACAGATGCATGGACAGATATGTCCCCCATGGGTCCCGGACTGAGAGACAGCGGGTGTGTATCACTAGGTCAGACATGCATCATTATACTTGACATTGCATTGCACATACTTATCATT